AACTGAATATTAATCAAATAAACTGATTGATGACTGCAGTCATGAACTGATTAGGGACCATAGAACAAGAACAACAGTCATAACCTGTGACTGATAACAACATCTCACACTGTAATGCATGCAGTCAGATGTGAGTTTAAATGAGATTCCATGAAACAACAATATTCATTTTGTTAAGGCACTAAGGACAGAATGTGTCATGGAACGAGCCGACACATCACGTAAATAAAAGCGAATAAATGAGCAGGGTGTTGACCACGCGGGCGCAGTGCAAATATTCTGCATTGTTATACCATTATGCAAATCAGTTTAAGATGCGATACTTCTGGTCGAATGCGCCCTCAGATTGTCAGAAGGCTCTAAATCTGATGCTCTGTGGGCTTCAGAAATGGCCTCACACAGCCAATGTGACAGGCGCTGGATGGATAACGGGCGACCTGCAGATGCGTCTCTAAGTGCACAAAACAAATGTTGAGTCTGACGCAGTGCCGCCGTGCGTGCTACGTAACACGTCAACGCACGCACAGGGCAGAGAAGATGGAAAGATGATTCTTCATCTGATTTGTGGGGAGGAGGCAAAAATCCCTCCAACGATATCACTCTTGATTTAAATGAGTTTTTGATGTTTTATTGCATAAACGCTGGGTTAGGCCTCAGATCAGCTGAGCTGCCATCAGCCTGAATTCTGAGACATAACGGAGTGACAGAGAGGGCAGGTAAATCACTCACCCTCTTAGCAGATGTTAAAGGCAACAGCAGGGCTGTTTTAAGAGACAAGACTTTAATTGGAACCTGATTCAGTGGCTCAAATGGAGCTTTGATCAGGGCTTGCAGAACCAGCGTTAAGTCTCACTGTGGAGAAAGTGTGCGTGATACAGGCCTGCACCTCTGTACACCTTTTAAAAAACGCTTCATCAGCGGATGATTAAAAGCTGTTCTGTCCCCGAAACCTTCGTGACAAGAAGAGATGGCTGTAGCATACGTTTTAATTGAGTTGAACGCCAGATTTCTGTCCATCAGCTGCTGCAGAAATGACAGTATGCCACCTAGTGGACTTGAGGTGGCCTCTACACCTTTCTCCGTACACCAACGCTGAAAAGCTGTCCACTTTGATGTGTACAGCGCTGTGGTGGAGGCAGCACGTGAAACCTGGATCGTGCGCACCACATCTTGAGAGAGACCCATCCTCTCTAAAACGGATCCGCTCAGTGGCCAGACTCAAAGGTGCTGGCCTATTTCTGGATAACTCCTGATCGTTCCTCCTGCCTAGAGGAGAGCATCCTCCCTCCACGGCAGTTTCCACGGGCACTCTGATAACAGGCGTCGTGGAATTGGGAACCACGGAACGTTCACATTCGTCTGAGCCATCAGCTCGAGATAGAAGCTCCAGTCCCCGTGACGTGGACCGCCCTTGGACATCTCATCCGCTCTTCTGTTCAGAACACCAGGGATGTACACTGCTCTGATGGAGAGCAGATTTTGTTGTGCAACACTCCAAAACATTTATATGAGCCGCTGTGTGGGGTGGCCACAGCGCCCCCACAGCTCGAGACATGCATGTGCCTCCCCAGCCTGACAGGGACACGTCTGTGAAGACTGGCACGTGTGACATAGGTCTGCTGACGCAAACTCCCTCCGACAGAACAAGAGGGTTTCCCAGTGTCTCAGGTTGATTCTCACAGAGGGGGGCGTAGCAATCAACTGTCTCTTCTGCCTCACCGGGTCCACACACAAACGAGCAAACCACCTCTGGAGGCATCGCACCGTGTGAGCAAACGACATGTCCTTAATAACTTTATGACGGAAACAGCTGTTATCACTCTGCCGGTTTCACATGAGTTGCACTGCTGCCACCTGTCTGGAAAAAGGGTCAGCAGCAACAGATCGTCCAGATAAAACAGAATTCTCCTCCCTGCTTTGTATAGCGGCTGCAGAGCCGACTCGATGCATTTTGAATGGAATGTTGTCTCACAGTTGAAAATTGACAAATCTAAGATGGGTCTCATCCCTCCGGTCCATTTTGGCACCAGGAAGTGACAAGAGTAGAACCCTGTGTTTTCCTTTCCTTCTGGAACCCTGGAAATTATTATTTTTTTTATCAGAATTTCCTGAACTACTGCGTGAAGGAACGAGAACTGTTCTGGAGGTGACAGAAACATCTCTAAAGTTCCTCCAAACAGGGGGTTTGAGCTGTAAACTGTAGCATGTATCCTCTGCTGATAAGACAGTTCATCAATCTTACTAGAGCGCACGCTTGCTGCCACTCCGCGCAACGTTCGGGAAGCGAGCACACGTTTTTGCTGCGTCACATTATTTACGGACGCCAATCACCGCCGTCATGTGTGCCACGCTCCGTCTGCGGGCTCACGTCCGTGCTGATGTGAACTGGTGTGCGCTGAGGGGAGGCGCACGTGCCCCTGGGCATGCAGAGCCATGTAGGTGAGGGCTGCCACGGGGGCGCAGCGCTTTTGTGCCACGGGGGCGCGGTGCTTTTGTGCCGCGCTCAGGCTTCGGGCTCACATCCGTGCTGATGTGCGCTGGCGTGTGCTGAGGAGGCAGCGCACAGCTTGGGCTGAGCGAGGTTTCCCACTGGACTCGGTCTGCTGAAAACATTCACTTTGGCTGCTGTGTCACTCACGCGCACATTTTGTGTGTTTTCTCGGGCTGCAATGTTTATAAGTGGTTTATAAGATACTAACAGATACACAAACCTAACAACTGGATGTATGTGTCCAACTGATTAACCTCTGGAATCAACCTGATTCAAGATGACTGCCACAGCTAATCAACTATATCTATCACAAAAAATGACAAAAACTCAGTTTTTCAGATGCTGAGCTCAAATTTGGTGTGGTAGTAGCTGAGAGTCAATTCCAAGACATGCTGTTAGCACCAACAGATTGCACAAGATCTTTGTTCAAAGCTGACAGAGCCTGACCTGACTCAACATTGTTGGATTTATACCTGGATTAATGAGCATGAACTTTGGTATCTTTGTTTAAAACTTTTGCACACAAGGCAGCAAGAAACGTGCATTCTTTCAAGGAATGTTAGTTTCAATTAAAAAGCTCTAGTCAAGATGCAACATATAGGCTGGTCTTTTTGTTGTTGCTGCAGTGGCTGAGTGGATAGAGAAGTTGGGAGAGTTGGGGGTTTGATTCCACTAGTAGTCACATGTTGAAGTGTCCCTGGGCAAGACACTGAACCCCTCATTGCCTTCAATGTGTGTCCCATCAGTGTATGCATGTGTGTGTAGTAGAGTGCTGTATGAATTGGAAAAAAAATCAATGCACACGTTCTTGTTTTTAAGTTTTCTACACCACTCTACAACCTAGCTGGATTTTTTGTTACATTTTCTTTTAAATACCGTTTTATTTTAACTTGTTAACAAAAATCTCAATTTGTACGCATCCTTTGAATTATTAGCTTTGTTGTCAACTGTTGTAATCACTCTTTGTTAAAATTAGGTCTCTTGTACATGAGTCCCAGAGGTTCAGTGGGATTAACCTGTATAAACACTGGTGGATTGTATGAATGTGTGTGTGTAGTAGAGTGTTGTATGAATGTGTGTGTGGAGGTAAATAAGGGTACAGATTGTGTTGTAAAGAGCTTTGAGTATCTTGAGATACTGGTGCTATACAAGTTCATTTAACATTTTTGTAATAACATCAGTAAAGTTTTTTGCTGATATTAGGGGATATTATGCTGCATTAGGGGTGCAAATCTCTCAGTGTCTGGCAATCCGATTTGATTCCGATTTTTGGTGTCACGATACGATTCAAAATCGATTTTTCGATTCAGAAGTTATTTTTCTATTTCTATTAAAGACAAAGCAGCGGGTTGAATCGCGCTGTCTCCCTCCTCCATGCTTGCAGACTCTATTCAGATAAACGGAGCTGGCTAACTAGCTTGCTGTACGGTGGCCTACACGGCTCAATTCTACAGCGGCTGAACGGGGAGTAGGAGCGGAAAAAATATAAAACTTAAATGCATTTTTAAATCAATTTATGAACCTTTAGAAACGATTCAGAATCGCCAGGACTAAGAATCTAGATTCATCGAAAATCAATTTTTTTCTGCACCCCTAATATGCATGCATTATGCAGAAGACTGTTGGAGTCAGTCTCCCCACCATCACAGACATTTACACCTCCAGATACAGGAAGAGGGTCACCTGCATCATGAAGGACCCCACTCACCCAGCACACACACTTTTTGCCCCGCTTCCCTAAGGCAGGAGGTTGAGGAGCATTAAGTGCAGAACCACTAGACTGAGGAACAGCTTCTACCCTGAAACTGTTAGACTCATGAATCCCTAACCAGAATAATCACTGTGAAAAATCACATCATGTTGCTGCTGATCTGTTTCATGTTGATGTGTTCATGCATGCTCATCTGCTCACACAGACTCATGCTCATGTTTGTGCTGCTGTTCGACATGTTTTTATTCTATTAGTGCTTAGTGTATTTTTTGTTGATGTTTTTCTTAGTTCATATCTTAGATGTTATCATTGTTTTCCTTTTACATTTTATTGTTGGATGTAACTGTGACCCTGTGTACATAATGTCGTTCCACCACATGTACCACATGTGGTGGAACGACAATAAAGGATCTCTGACTCTAACTGACTCTGATTATTTGGTACTTTATCTAAAGATTTTTTTTTTAGAAATTATTACAATTAATTCTGTTTTTTTTTTCCTGTCTTTGTCTTATATCTGTATTATTATCTTTTCTCCTTTCTTTCTTCTTGTTAGAGTTTGTGTACCACCACAGTAACCTATTTTTTCTTGTAATGCACGCATAGCCGTCTGCTTCATTTGACATTGGCATGACTTTTAAATAATCTATAAAAGTCTTATATGGGTGTTTATGTCTTTCTATGTCTTTTTGATAGAACAAGTTCATTATCAGTCCTAAAAATCTCCATATATTGGTACTTTTGTGTTGCCTTACCCAGCTATTCTGACATTCTCACCTGGTTCTTCTCTGTCTTCAGGTGAACCTGCAGTGGCTCGAGAGAATAACTGCCTGAATGCCGCCAAGGCTTGCAACCTGAACGACACGTGTAAGAAGTACCGCTCTGCCTACATCAGCCCGTGCACCAGTCGTGTCTCCACCGCAGAAGTCTGCAACAAGAGGAAGTGCCACAAAGCTCTGCGGCAGTTCTTTGACAAGGTGAGGCAAGGGATGTCCACCCCCAAGGACCAGTTTTAACAGGCGGTATGCCGATGTCACCTGTCACTGAGGGATTTGATTAGTGAATTTTGTAGGTTTTTGAGATAGTGTTTTTCTGGAATAGAATTGGATGCATCCTGGTGAGAGAAGGGAGCGATTTTATCCACCATCAGGTGCAACAACAGACTCAAGGTTAACTTAACCATAAACTAATCTTTGGCCATACCTAGGGCCACCACACACACATATATATGTAAATATATATATATATATATATATATATATATATATATATATATATACTGTATATAAATTTACAAATTAAAATAAGATGGCAAAAAAAGTAGCAAAAAACAGCTAGATTCTAAGGTGAATGTAGAGAACTAAAAACAGGAATATGTCTGCATTGGTCCTTGCCAGGAGTCCAAAAGATTCTTAAAGCCACTTAGCGAGGTCAAGGTCAAGAGCTTCAAATCTTTTTGTAAGATATTCCAGGAAACAGGAGCGGAGTAGGAGAAGGCCCTTTTGCCTAGTTCAGTCCTCACTGAGGGAACACTGCAGGTAATAATGTCCTGAGAGTGCACGCTGTAGTTGCACTCACTCAGAGACATGTAGGAGGAGATGTATGAAGGCAGCAGACCAAGAAGTGATTTAAAGATGAAAATGTACCAGTGAGAGAGTCTGCGTGAAGTTAATGATGTCCAGTTAACCAGTGAATACAGGGTGCAGTGGTGGGTACGATAACCACAGCCAGTTATGAATCTTAGTGCACCATGATAGACAGCATCCAACATCTGCAGGGTTCTTGTAGGAGTGTTCATATAAATAATGTCACCGTAATCAATGGAGGGAAGGAAATTCACAGTTACAAAGTGTTTCCTAGCATTCAGAGTTAGACAAGATCTGTTTCTGAAAAAGAAACCCAGTTTAACTTTCAGTTTCTTTACTAGGTTTTCCATGTAAAGATTAAGAGATACGAGTCGACCAAGATACCCAAATATTTATAGGAATCAATAAACTCAATTCAATTCAATTCAGTTTATTTATATAGCACCAAATCACAACAGAGTTGTCTCAGTGCACTTTACAGGAACATTCACATACATAGAAAAGCCAATTAGTAAAGTTCTCTATCTAAGGAATCCAGCAGACAAGTTGAATCTTGGCTTTGTTGCAGTCTCCCATCCTGAGCAAGCACAGTGGCAACAGTGGAAATAAAAAACTCCCTTTTAAAAGGAAGAAACCTCCAGCAGAACCAGGCTCAGGACAAGCGGCCATCTGCTTTGACCTGCTGGTTTGAGAGGACAGGAAGGAGAGACAGACGAACACAGAATGGTAGGTCCAGGTATAGGTCCAGGTGTACCTGAAAGACAAAAAACATGTTAAGGATAGAAAAAAAGATTACAAATACAAAACAGGTTGAGCAGAGTAAGTAAAGACAGTAGCAGAGTGAAAGGTGTGGTCAGTTTGTCCTCCAGCAGTCTAAGCCTATAGCAGCATAACTAAGGGACAGCTCAGGAAACCCAAGCCAACCCTAACTATAGGATTTATCAAAAAGGAAAGTCTTAAGCCCAGCCTTAAAACTGGATAATGTGTCAGCCTCACATACAGAGATTGGAAGTTGGTTCCACAAGAGAGGAGCCTGATAACTGAATGATCTTCCTCCCATTCTGGTGTTGGAAACTCTAGGAACCGTGAGTAAACCTGCAGCCGGAGAGCAAAGTGCTCTGTTAGGAAAGCATGGAAAAATAAAATCTGTAATATAAGATGGAGTGTAGGTTGTTGAGAGCTTTGTAGGTTAGAAGTAGGATTTTGAATTCAATTCTGGATTTGACAGGGAGCCAATGGAGAGAAGCTAAAACTGGAGAGATATGATCTCTCCTACTAACTCCAGTTAAGACTCTGGCAGCAGCATTTTGGATCAACTGAAGACTTTTTAAAGACGTAGTTGGACATCCAGATAATAAACCATTGCAATAGTCCAGTCTAGATGTGACATGCATGGACCAGTTTTTCTGCATAATTTTTATATAAGATGTTTCTAATGTTAGTGATATTACGCAGGTGGAAGAAGACATTTCTAGTAACGTTTTTAATGTGGGGGATAAGACATGTCCTGATCAAACATAACACCAAGATTTTTAATATTAGAACTGGAGGCCAGATTAATGCCAGCTAAGGAGGGAGAAAGACTGAAAAATGTATTCCTAATGTGTTCAGGTCCAA